TAGCACAATTGAATGAGCATAATAATAATGTACCGTGAATGGCCATTGATGCCAAATGCAAAAATGCTTCCTATTTAAAGCCTCATCAAATGCAATAGTAACATACGGGCGGCTAACTGTGTATATGCTTGTAAATTGAATCCTTCAAACAATAATCAATCACTCTGCTTACTTGAATTGCATTGAATCTGTGTATATTTATTTACATAAATGCAAAGTGATTTTGATAATGCATTATTTGCTATTTTGATGAGTAAGTAAGTAAGTAAGTAAGTAAGTAAGTACTAAATATTTGCTTTTCAATAGCACCTTAAATATCTTTCGTTTGTAAGCAGCCAAGAATTAAGCTTTGAGAGTTGAGAATAACTTTAGACATACGTGCCAGTGAATGAATGCATGAATTGTGAAGCAATGAATTCTTCACTAAGTGAGCGAGCATCCATTTTTACTTCCTCATCAGTTTCCATCTAGCAATCATCAGCCATAATCGTATGCCAAATGAGCTAAAACTAGCTAAGAATGCATCTCATTTTATCTCATTCATTTATTTGCTTAAGGGACCAAATCAATCGCACGTCGCATTGCATCTGCTTTTTTACTCTGCGAAAACAATGCCAATACCATTCATACGATTAATACTTCTGTGCTTATTCTGAACTCAAATAAGCATCAAATGATTATTTTTACACAAAAACATTCTGATGGAAAATAAATAATCAACAAATTCATCTATGCACTAATAATACATGAATAAACAGATAAATAAATAAATAAATAAATAAATAAATAAATAATTGAATATAAACGATGCAGTTTTTGTCGTAATTGCAAAATTATTAGCATTTAAATGCAGCTAATAAAACATTGAAAAAGTTTGAAAATGCAAAGTTATTAATAAACAAAAGTTACATTTCTTTGATAAAACAAAAAGTTAGCCAATTATATAAAATAAAAAATTAAGCATATGATTATGGTTTTTAATTTTAATTTCCTTTTTGAGCTCAGAAATTTAACTTTTAAAACAAATGATGCTAACTTCTTGAGGCAAAAAGTAAATAAATATGTTACATTTACTTCATAAGCAGAAAAACAAATATGCAAATTTCATACATAAAACCCATAAGTGAGAATTAAATCACGTAGAAAAAAAGGGTTGCTTGTATGAAATAAGCAATACTTACAAGTAGAGAAATAAAAGAATTAAATCGTTCAGTCATAAATTTGACATTAAAACTATTAGAAATTTTTGCAAGATACTTTTAATATTTTTCTATTCATTTCTTTCAATTACAATTTTGAAAAAATTCTGATATTTTTCTGCAATTTATTTTAGAATTCTGAGATATAACTTGAAAAAATTTTAAATAATTCAGTCAAAAAACAGCTCTCATTGAATTTCCAATTAAAAACATTGCTGACTCTGAAAAGTATCAAAAATGAATTCTTTTCAATTGCAGAAAGTTAGTTGTACTCTTTTAGTCCGCTACAATTTTTAAAATAACTATAATATTACTACTAAATATGGTTTTTATTTATCAACTGGCAATCTAAAACTGACGAATTGCATCATCATCAAAGGTTCATATCCATTTGTTAATCACAAATTTCCATGCATATGAATAAATTATTCAAACATTCATATTTTATCAGTTAATTTCATTTTTCAAACTTTTATCGCGTTGCTTATGCCATTCATTAGTTAATTGTTATAGATACCACAGTCGCTGCTTTTAAAATGCTTAATAATTTATCAAAAAAAATAAAAAAAATATTATTTATTGTAGGTATATTAAATAAAAAATATAAAAATTTGCGGAGAAATATCTGAATGTTATACGAAAGTATGAATTTGTCACAAAAATATTATGATTCCATTGTATGCTACTGCAATTAATTTGAACACAAAATATGAATGCGCCACTCATTTCAATTATTTTCGCAAAATTTGCATAATTTATTCTGAAATAAAACTTATAAGTTGAGTAACCCTGAAAGTAAGCGAACAATTAAGTATGAAATTTCGTGGAAGGACGCATGTAACAAATGATCTGATTTATGATTATTTCAATGCTTTGACTGTTATAAGTATCACAATTATTTGCTCAAGTGAGTATATAAAAAGTTGAAGTCCGACACTATCAAATATTCTCATGTGCTCAAGTTTTTAGTAACTGATTGATTTTAAATAGCTTTGATGACAATATATAAGTTTGTCAGATCTCAGCATCTTAAGCACTCGACAGATCGAACTTCAGGCATTGCTTTTTTCTTTAAAGAATTTGAAATATTCTGATTGCAGTCAGATTGACGGAACTTTCTAAAATACACGAATGAAATTTTTAGATTATTACCTTTTAGCACAATTTTCGACCTAATTATTTGCGTATTTTTAATTTGTTCATTTCTTAATTTTTAAAATTTCTTTTTTTAACGTTTTTAGTGTTGATGATTTTGTACTGAAAATATTTAACAAGTTTGGTTTTAAATTTTTCTTCTCAAAAAATAAAAAAATACCATCTCAGCCATCAATTCTTTGAATTAACTGAAAAAAGTTTTTGGGATTGAAAAAAATTTATTCAAATTTTTGATTTGGAAAATTTTTTATCACTTCAAATCTCCTGAAGTACTCAGTTAAAACTTCCAAATTTTAAAGTTTTATTGTAGATGAAAGAAAGTTTTAGTAGTAATTCTGCCAACGCTATGCTTATTAATGTGCCTAATAAGATTTTGCATTGTTGCTCGGAGACACAGAAGACGTCGGAAGCGAAGAGAACGGTCTCGATTTAAAACGCGAGGTGAGTCATTCTGATTCATCGCATTTGCAACAAGCCATGATCGTTTTAAGATCAGCTAATCAACATTTACTGATCGAATAATCAGTGTTTGTGAATCGTAATTGTCTCCAACTGAATTAGAACATATTTAGGTCGGATTAAGTAAAAAAAATTTCTCTGAGGATATTGCTTTATTTTTGATTAAGTACTGCCGACAGAAGCTGAATACTTAGCATTAGCTATTAGTTTTAGAAGTAATTAAAATCGAAGACTAATTTTTACAACTTATAACGGAGCTGTTTTCTTTCTATTTTCCTCATGTATTTCTTGTTTCTTCGAACTCACTGAATCACACAACTCTGAAATGCATACTACTATTTTTTTGAATAAGTGAGTGATTTTATTCAAACTTTTGACAGACTCATTGCAAATAAATCGCTTTCAAATAAACACAAATGATCAGTTTAAGTTTAGCTTCGATTAAAAAATCAGAAAGCGACGCAACACAGCAGTATGATAAAAATACGACCAATAATTCGTCGGGAAGTTCGAATAAAATATCTAAGGTTTAATCTGTTCTGCTTTTTGTTCTTCTGAACTTTTCAGTAGCTCTTTACTGAGTATTTAAGTTCATAAATTAAAACTCATTATGAGTTCTATTTTAATTGATTAAAGAAATTTCTTATCGCTCTTTCTCAAATAATTTGAGTTTGTCATAAAATCTGATCTATCTGGATAGTACGTATTTGAAAAATCGATCTTTCAAGCAAATATTGAGGGGTTAATTCGGTATCGTGATTTGCGGTCTGATCTATCTTGTTACAAATGTATGCAATTTAATTTGCCGCGTTGTTGAGTTAAATAATTCCGATTTGTTTTAGTGATTATGACTTGTCCGTCTTTTCAATTTTTCTAAGTCTAAAGCTTAAACTTTCAATCCAATTTAAAATTTCAGGCTAATAGTTTCGATGCGAGCCAAAAGTCTGAAAGCAGCCAGTATGTCGTTGACTTATCAGTGACCGGTTCTACCAGTGAATTAGACGAGATCTGATCTGATTTGATGTGACTTGATTTGATGTAATAATGATAACTCGTTTTTCTCTTTATTGTTATGTTTGAAAAGTTTAAGAACATCAGAATATTCGACTCATACTCTGATGGTTGTTTTGACGTTTATATTTTGTAACAAAAAATATTCTTATCTATTCTTCACTGTCTATAGGATGATCAGATATTAAGCGAAAATTCTGTCCATTTGTTATCAAATTATCGAAACCAATGTGATATAATGTTGAATGAATTATGAACTAAAATTTAACGCGATTTACAATACTTCTAAAGCATATAATAAATATTGTGAGTGATAGAATTTGTACAGTTTGCGTTTCCTTATACGGAATGGCATATTATGCTGTTCAAAAACTTTATCAGAACTGAGCAAGAGATTTGGCTTTGATTTTATTTGTAAAGGCGAAGTTTTGTTTCAGAAATAATTAACAATGCATCCGTTTTGTGCTATTATCTTTTGTCATTTCTTGAAAAATTACAATTTATTTTCAAAGTCTGAAAGCAGCCAGTATGTCGTTGACTTATCAGTGACCGGTTCTACCAGTGAATTAGACGAGATCTGATCTGATTTGATGTGACTTGATTTGATGTAATAATGATAACTCGTTTTTCTCTTTATTGTTATGTTTGAAAAGTTTAAGAACATCAGAATATTCGACTCATACTCTGATGGTTGTTTTGACGTTTACATTTTGTAACAAAAAATATTATCTATTCTTACTTTAAGGTTAATTATGAATTGAGAGTACTTTTAATTATTTCTTCGACTTGAACGAGCTCCAAAACTTCTAGCGATCATTTTGGTATCTACTCAGCAATACTTTATAAACTACATGCATTCGAATGAAACAGACAAGTAATTAAGTTAAGTTCTATGCTGTTTTACTTATTCCGTTATGGATCGCTTCAACAACTTTAATTACTGAAATACTTTTAAATTACTACAAAATGAAAATCACACCATGGAAAAATAACCTTTTAATATGTCTGTCAACTTCAAGAAATAAAACATAGACATATACATATAAGCACAAGCTTCTTTATATGTGATAGAATTATTTAAGGTGAATAACTGACAAAATAAAATAACAAAATTGGCAAAGTGATCAAATCAATAATAAATTGATAATATTTAAACTTTTAGCAAATTGTTTGCTTTCAATAATTGGCTAATCTTCGAAAGCGTCGCAATGCTGCGTTCTCGTCATGCGGTCGGAAAGGTGAATGCTGTAATTGAGTGTAGTCCACAATTTTCATTTCATCCTTGTATTTTGTAAGCAAATCCAAAATCACCCCATTAGTCCAACCAAATCCATCCTAAGAACATGCAAAACAGATCAGAATGGATATTTGCCTACTCTGTTGCACTACAAAAAATAGTGATCCAAATTTGCATTCTGAGCATGAAACTTACACTTCATTTGTTCTTCAATAATTGCTTTGGCTTGAAGCATGAAATTAGCAAATACTCCTATTTGCTATGATTTTGATATCACCAATAAAATATTACTTATCAGTATCTGAGCACCAGATCTTGTAATGATTCACAACTGCGATCAGACATCAGTTAAATCGTTACTTTTAGAAATAATTTAAGACACTTTTTTGATTTTGAATTTGAAAGTATCACCCTTATGCTAATACTAATTTTTGATATCAGTGTTAAAATAGAGCGTTTTTTGTATTTGTTTATTCGTTTTTATGTATATTTGATAATAATTAATTAACATTGTTATTTACTTATTCATCTATTTACTGGCTTAATTTCTTCCAACTGTGTTTAATTCTACAAAAAAAATAACTTTTCAAAGCAACTTGCGTAACGTTGAATTATTTACCTGTACTTCATATTCTCCTCCAATTCCAGGATGAGGATAACTACCACTTACATCGTACTGAAATTAAAATTTAAATCAAAATATTAAAAACTACAAATGTGGCAGAAAGAGAAATTAGTGATGAGATTAAAGCTTTCGATATTATTATTAACTGTTTTGCTCATATAAATGCGAAAAAAAATTGTGCAAAATAAGAAATTGCATTATTATTAACCTACCTTTTCCCACATTTTTTTTGTTTCTTTATAAACACGATAATTACTCATTACCCATTTTCTCGCTAAACGATAAGCCTAAAAAATTCACATTCGTTTTAATAAGATAAATAATTAGTTAAGAAATATATTAATAGTGAATATTTTTATAAGCTAAGTCATCGTAAAAAATAATCGACTAAATTTGCTATTTCGGTCGCTAACTTGATTTTGCATCGCAGCATTTTGTGACTTGCGAAGACCTTCAATAATCATATGGATCAGAGGAGGAAAGCCATTTGGGAAATCCCACTGCTCCCTGCTATCAGTCGCCAAGCTAGCCGGCACTCCCCCAGGATATTCAAATGCTCCAGAAATCTGAATCAGGATAGTATATTTTTAGGGTCAGCACAAAATAACTCATAAGGCATTTCTGCGCAAAAAAAAGTAATTTATAGCTTGGTAGATATGATAACAATGAGAAAATATTTTCAATTTCCACACATAAGTATTTACTTTCCAGCTACTTTAATGACAGTGTTGCCTGTTCAAATTCGAAAATACTTTTACAAGGCTTAACTTGTCAATTTAGCACTGACGTAGATTAAGATTTTCACGAGTTTAATAACTATAATTATGATGAATTATTTGAAAAAAATGCTACAAAACTCAGTTTTCAAGTTTGGTTAATAGCTTTGGTTATTTATGAATTTCAAAGAATAACAAACAAGTAATTACGAGTTTATCCAAATTACAAATAAAAGTTTTTTATTAAGCAATATATTAACTGAAACTTTAAAATATATACAAAATAAAATGTGGGCGTCAGTAATAATTTTGATGAATCAACTACGGACGAGATTTTATTCGTCCGCATCATGTATAGCTTTGCATGGTGAGTTTCATTTTCTATTTCGCTTACAAAAACGTCTTCGGCTGCTAATACGTTCTCAACGGTAGGATTTTCTGTAAGGTTGTACTTAGTCTTTAGAGAGAGTACAATAATTGCTAAGTACGTGTTATGAGCATTCTCCTGCTTCAGAATCGCTGCCCTTGCGATACAAATGGGTGTGGTATCTACAAGAACATTATGTAGTTGAACATGCATAAGCTCACTCTTCTGCTCAACATTATGAAGTCCACGTTCTAGCTCGTTCCTTGATACGTGCAGTCTTTTCAAACAAGCAGGTTGCTTGTGAATTCCGTATTTGGTCAGTGACTGTCTGATATTG